CATTGAAAGGCGGATTTGCTGTTGCTTTTCTTGTGTATGATTTTCTGAGATGCACTGTAAGCCCAGTGCATGTCAGAGCATGGCCTGGTACAGGCTGTCAGGACGTATAAAGGGGGATGGGAGGCTTCCTTGTCCCTTCCCACTCCAAGGACAGCTTGGGGGAGCAGAGGAGCACTGATTGAGAGCAACACCTGTCAGGTGAGGCTTTCGCAGTTGACGGCCCAGAAGGAGCGCCAAGTCGACTGCTATGACTGCTAATCTCTGACGTGGCAACCTGCCGGGCTCTGCCAGTCTCCAGAGGGAGAGCGCCAGGAGCCCGAGCACCAAGGCTTTTCCAGGGCTGCAGTCCTGCTAATGTCTCCCCGAACAGAGTGAACCACGCTGATATGCTCTAAATACATTTCATTATCATCATCATGATTATATCACTAATTGTGTGTACTCGGTAATGTGCTGCAGCAGCCCCCTCCTGGGAGGTGTCTGAGAGACTGAATGATTAAAACATGTATGATGAACCATGCATCAAAACGTCCCTGTGGGCTTCCTCACAAGATACATGTAAGCGGCTCCAGTGACACTCGGAGCGAGCAAACAGCAGAGGATGTGGTCTACTGAGGGTTGAAAGGCTGAGGAGGAAGCTGCAGGCAATAACAATACAGCAGGTGGATATTAGAGATGCAGGGGATTGACCTGAGGTGACCCCATCCATATCCATAAACCCACACAACATAACCTATATACCCTCAGACATGACTGCAGTGCAGCCTAAATAATTCCACTACCACACAATAAGTAAACCAAAGGTTCAACTCATGGCTGGGCTACTTTGGCCTGCGCAGGGGCCTGTTTCTGCCTTCATGTGTGGTTGACAGGAGAGGATAAAGTTTTTGTGACAGCATTTGATGAATGTTTAATCCAACATTCATACATCCCAGGCTAGGATTGGGTCCCCAGTCAAAACCCACCAAAGACACACAGCAGGTGTGTGAAATATTCATTCACTACACGCTTCATTAAGAATGAAACATACCATGGTCCCCGTTCATTTATTCATTTCGATTATCGAAACAAAAGACAGAAAAATGGGAGATTAAAACATGGTGGGCGCGCTATTCTATATTTGTCTCACAGATTTGTAACAATTTGTTTTGTGACAAATAACTCTGCCTGTTGAAATCCCGCTGTCATCTTGCTGAGAGTCAGGCAGCTACTGCGAGAGGAGCTTTCATGTGAGGGCTGTAACAAATCACTGTCTGCCTGGGAATCTCCAGCTCTGCATCCCACTGCAGCAGTTTGACCTTTGACCGGTCCAGGAGTGTCCAGTGGCTCGCCGCATAAAGCATGCTGATATATATCTCAGCCATCAACCGCTGATGGGACACTTTTCATATTTTCATTAATTAACAGTGAAATATGACAATTAATGATCTCTCTCTGTGATGAGTGACTGCACTCGGGCAGATGAAGTGACTGATGTCGTCCCTGTCAAGGATTGGGCTCAGTCTTTTTTTTCTCTCTTTGAGTGGTGAATATGTCATTGTTGAGTGTCAGTGCTGCTTCAACGGAGACTTACCGTCTTTGAGTGAACGTGTCACATAGATTACCAAATTTCCCCATGGAGATCATTAAAGTTTCATCTAATCTAATCTAATTAAAACAAGGATGTGCAAGTCCTGACACACTGTCCAAGGCTGCTGTTTTGTTCTGAGACATTATGGCCTTTCTCAAGTCAAAACACAATTGCTATTCTACATAAAACAGAACAAAAGGACAAAAAAAGATTTATATAATGTTCATTTGAAATTTTATAAAAACATTTTTTTAAAAAAGGCATTGTGATATAAATCACCAATGTTTCAGATTACACCAGCAGTATATGAACTGAAATGTTACAGAAAATATGGAGTAATCATTCTATAAACAAAGACATCAAGACAAATATTCCAATGCAAATATTGCATGATGCATACACATTGAAGGTTTGATGGCACAAACAGAGAATGTTGGATTTAATAGCTGTGATGTGAACAAACAAATACCAACATAACTGTTTGTCCATTTGATTTAATTCAGATAAACTTGACTGTCATAGCATTTCAGTGTAAATAATTCAGTGGAATTTACCATGTGTTTTTTTCCACAAATCTTTGTATCTAAGGTTTGTGGCTCACAGAAATAGAGTAATGACCATAACACTCAATAAAAACAGTATACAAAATGTAAAGTATAATAATTGCTAATATTCACAGGGTGTATGGGTAATTAAGTTACAACATTCATTCATATATTTGAACAAGGTTATTGATTGTCAGATGGATAATTTCAGATTGATTGGCACTCAAATGAAGTGGGGAGTTTTAATGACAACATTTCAGAGATCAGAGATTGTAATTCCTGCATTTGATCTACTGCTAGTTTTTCCTGATAGTTACAGAGGGTTAAAGGTCACCTTGTAAATAGAAATGATGCACCTCTTTCATATTTTCACATTATCATACATACACCTGTCTACTTATGAAGCAAAACAAGCAGTCCTTCAACACACTTGTATCTGCTCCTCACATAGAAACGAGCTGAACTTCTGCTCTCGGGCAGCATGGTTTTTGTTAGTTGCTCAATATAAAAGCTGAGCTTATTAAATATTTGTTATATTGATAGGCTATAGACAATTGTATTAGCTAAACAGGAAGACATTTAAATCAGTTCCAGTTGAACAGGATAAGAGTTTCAGAAAATATACATATGGATGACTAGCCAGAGATAATCACCCCTATTTTATTTCAAGTGATGGGAATTAGTTTTGAAATGAATTAATGTCCAATTAGGTATGTGCACCTACAATATGGAATCAATCAGTGGTTACCAACCTTTTTGGCTTATGAACCCTTTAAAATTAAGTAATGTCCCTTCATTACAGGTCATGGCCTGAGTGTGGACCAAAGTAAACTAAGCAAAGAGCGTTTTTCTCTTCTCAGATTGTTTCATTTGAAGGAGATTTAAAGGTCTGAGGAGGTGAAGTTATCCAATATTTCACCAGAAAAGCAAAAATCACAGAAAAGTCAGAGACAAAGCATCATTTTGTTTAACTGATTTTCTTCCTGTGTGTATGTTTGCAGATATTCTGTAGATCTCTGTGACTGAACTAACATATGTACGTTTAATGAAATGTATTGATGTGGTGTGAAATGACACCAATAACTCACATTTGCTTGCAGCATTGAGTCCTCTTTCAAGCAGCAAAATTTACATCTAAACGCATAATCTCATTATGAATCAGACTGGCAGATTTATTATTTAGAATAAAATACAATGTCACAAAATATGACTGGGAACATACACTCAGTTGCCAGTTTATTAGGCACACCTAGTAATGCAGTCTAATACATATTTCAAATAATAATAATAACTAATCTTCTCTGGCTAGCTTATGTGTGTGTGTGTGTGTGTGTGTGTGTGTGTGTAGGTTGCAACCCAGTATCGTGCCAATGCGTGTAATACACCCGCCGGTCACTAGGGCATTGCGTGTCAGTGCCACGCTTTGTTTCTCACTAGCGTGTGGAGGACACGCTAACACGACCCTAACGTGAACGTGCAGTACCAGCAGATGGCAGTCATTTACTCATTGCCAACAACTACTACAACAACTACTATGGAGCAGAGGAAGAAATCAGTCACGACATTTTTCCAGATCCCGACCCGCCAGGTAAGTCTATGATATGTTGCTAATTTTTTTATTTTTGTTTATGATTACCTTTTGTTGGAGATGTTTTAGGCCGCCTGTGTGTCTTATCATGTTAATTGGAGATCCGAAGGTTATTAACTTGAGATTAAACTGGAGGATTGGGTTAGCAAACGCTAGCTATTTTAGCAATTAGCTTTACAACTAACGTCATATGAAAGTGTTTTTCAGCTTTAAATTAGTAAGGGCCAGTCTTGGTTAATGTTAATTATGGCCCCACGGCACATTACTGAGGTCCCGCTCAGCCAAGGTCCTTTTAAACAGTGCTAATGATGTTTCAGCCTGCCTATGAAGTTATATGTACGTGTGCACTAGCATTAGAGGACTTCTTGACAAATGGCTAAATAATAAATGGTGGTAGGTTAAGACCCTAACTATTCTGTATGCGTTATAGGTTGCTATAGCGACGGGAGGCAGCCTCTCTGTGTCCAGTGTGTTAATGTCCACCCCTTTCTGTGCTGGTGGCTCTCCAGTCTGCTCCCATTTGACAGGTTCCTACAACAGGTTGGTCATCCAGCCACAGTCTTGCAGTGAAGTTGTCTAAACGGCATATTTCATTCATTTTGATGAATTCAGCACAATCCTGTAGATCTGTATTGTCCACAATATCCACTGTGTTAGGCCAGCATGCTTGTAGTTGATACGTTGAAGATGACTAAGAATTCAGTATTTGCCCTTTGTGAAATCTAATAAGGCTTGCTGCAAGATAATTCACCATGTTTTTATCTTCTTCTGTCCAACAGCTCCATCCCATACCCCCTCCTACCTTTACCTCTCCTTGGCTTTTGCTATACTAAACCAACGGCTCTTTTAAGAGTGCACTCGCTCTCTCTCTCTCTCTCTCACACACACACCCCTCTCTTTTTCTCCTCTCTCTCTGTGTCTACAATCTGCCTGTCTATCTTTCTGTCTCAGAGACATGCCAGGTCAGGGGTCAACCTCAAAAGAGTGTGTGGCCTGTCGTGCTATTATAAACGTAGCTTGCAAAACCTGCAAAATATGCAAGGCAGGACAGCCACATAAATTGAGGCTTAAAAAAAAACTGGCTAAATTTGATGAGAAACGGGAGAGCTGGGTCCAAACAAACAAGAAAAACAGGACTGTATCACATATCCAAGATGAAGCAAATATATTGGTATGATATTCATTTTTATTGTTTTAATGCAGTGCAATTTGAAAATGTTGTTATCAATGTTGATATTAATGTTATCTCTTACTTTTCTTTTGTGTGTGTCCTTTTTAGCTTGAAAAACTGCAGGCCCTGGGTGTAAGGGCAATGCTCTTTACAGCAAAACCTGGCAAAAAACAAAACACCTGGGTGTCCGAGGTGCTAGCGCCCCGTTGCCACTTGTCAGCGAACGCCACTGCATGTGTGGACAGAATGAAGGACCTTTATGGATTTATTGTTCATGGTAAGTATGGTCTGTTATTTATTTTAAAAGGTGAGTCTTCTGTGTTTGGTTTTCAGCTTTGTGGTCACAGTGACAATGAGTAACCCATTTATGTGAAATAAATTGAATTGTCGCTATGCTTAAAGTCTGTGGGTTGAGGATATGGAACTTTTTTACAAACTTATATAGATGTGCAGGTTTTTTCCATCACTCATTGCGTTTTAGTTTTAACACCCTAAACCTAGTGCTCTATGCACATTGAGGGCTGTATACTTTTACTTACCTTTGTAGTTAGTAACACTGATCCTAGCGGAGTAAAAAGCTATTGCTGTTGAGTCCACACATTTTTCTGGCTAAACTGCCCTCCAAGAAGGGTAAGAACAGAGGTAAAATCAATTTGAAAATTATTTGAATAGATACCTAATTGAACATCCATCCATCCATTCATTCTCTACCGCTACCGCTGTTGAGGCCAGGGGGGGTTGGAGCCTATCCCAGCATCTTTCAGGCAAGTACACAAGTACTTGTAAGTTGCCAGTTCATCACAGACATACAGACAGACATTCACACACACACACACACACACTTATGGACACTTTAGAGTTGCCAATTAACCTATCCCCTCATGCATGTCTTTGGACGGTGGGAGGAAGCTGGAGTACCTGGAGAGAACCCACACAGACACGGGGAGAACATGCAAACTCCACACCAGATTTTGTGTGAATACAGACGACGCAATCCTACACCCTGTCTGTGTCCACTCGGTCTGCTGTGCCTCTGTGCATATTTGTGTCTTAACACTCTTTTGCAGCTCCCTGCAGGAGAAAGAGATATAGAATGGGATGTGGAGCTCATCAACGCCTGTGTGCTGTATTGATTGGCAGCTACACACCAAAACCATAAACATCCAGAGGAAAGCAAAATATGACCGAGCAGGCATCACCACATACTTCTAGTGGTTCTACAATTCATTTAGCAGGTGCTTTTTATCCAAAGCGACATGCATTTGATCCCCTTCAACCGGGATTTGAACGCTGGTCAATACCAAAGTCAGCAGTACATAGGCATATCACTGCACTAGCCCACACCACCTATAGTGGTCCATAAGTGATGATTTAAAATGATTATGTCTATTTGAGTCTCTACCTTGATTTGTTTGTAGCAGATTATGCAGTTAATTTAAACTAATTAAAGTAATATTACTATGTAATTATTACTCCTATTCCTCTGCTATGCAGACTGGGTCCCACAAGATGCCACAGGACCATTGGATGAACCCTCATCAGCCCCAGTTCAACCACCAGTTGGACCAGTAGCTCCACCAGATCCCCAGCAAACCCCAGTTTCTTTAGAAAAAGGTATGTAGGAAACAAATAGCAAGCCCCACAAAACCATATTGTTACTTTGTGTAATGTGAAAATATAAATAAATTCTCAGCACCAGACATCCCATTGTGTATAAGAATGGCAGAAATGAATATTTAAAAAATCAGGATAGAAAAGAAAACTGGTTATTGGATTAAGCTGTTATCATTACATATCATACATCACGCCTTTATCTGTGATTCTCCAACTTTTTCTGACCTTCTCACCTTCAGAGGCCAGGGGCCTAGACTGTATTAGGACACTTAGGGCCCTATTTAGATGTTCTATAGTGCATAGTCCATAAAACATGGAGCACACACGTTTACAGCATTGTGCTGTGTTTTGCTGTGCGCCACATTGCGCCAGGCCAAAATAGAGCCCTGATTGTCTCTGGGTTTCATATGGCTTCCGGTGCTTCAGGTGCATAGACACTTTAAGGAATTGATTTAAGTATTTCACGTTATTAATGTAGATGTGGAGGATGTGACAGTTAAATGTGAAATATGAAGTACAACTATGGTGCTGTAGAATCATCCACTGTGTATCAATTCCTTCACTGTGAAAATGTTAGTCCAAAAGGAATGTACAAGTAATTCAGTAATTCGGCAGCTAGAAATGTTTGTATTAGCCTGCTAAAGACAGGTTATCCTTAAGGGGACAATTCACCCACAATGTTCACTGTGTGCTGCCATTAATCCCCAATGAAGAGCATCTTAATTATCATGGTGAACTTATATTCCAAAATTGCCAGACATCTCTGATGCAATAGAAAAGCACTGGATCTATAAAAAGTGTAAATACCTTTTGACACATCAAGAGCAGTCTCCAATTGTAAACTGATATATTTTAGTGTTTATGTTATTCACATTGATGTAATAGTCAGCACATTTTTTAATCATGATCACATATTTTATATCCTTTCCTGTAATAGATGACATTGCGGAAGAAGGCTGTCCAGCTCCCAGTGCAGTGCTGCAATGGAAAAGGAAAGGTGTGTCATAATGTCAATCCATAAATGTCAGAATTTGGTTAAAAAAATATATGTATATATTTGTCATTGTTTTCCGAAAACCACAATGAAGTCATCAAATATTTTTTGTCCATAATAGTGTCACAGAGTCCAGTCAGTACACGGCCACAGAGGAGTAAAGAAACTAAAACGTATTCACACCTGAGAGGCTAAAATCATAATGAAATAAATGAATACTTGATTAATGTAATAGTTGATTAATTGTTGCCACTCTAAATGAATGTGCTTATAGTTTGAACGCTCCACCTTTCATTTTAAATGTGTCCTGTAGTGTGGGATTTGCATTGGTCTAGTCTTGGTCATCACTTGGTCTCAGTTTAGATGTCCTTAAGTAAGAGCATTAGCTGACAGTGAATGAGACTGTAATATTTTATTTTCCCCACTGATAAAAACCAGTTTGTAAAAGTTTAGTCTAGTATTAAGGTTTTTGAACTTGATATTTTCCCTTTCAGAATGCACACATACAGTGTCAGGGAGCCAAGATTTCTAATGTCCCCAGCGAATAATAAGAATATGAAGTATGAGGAATAGTAGTAGTGTGCTTTGCAGGCACATATTTATATACACATATATTATACATAAAATTATTAAAAATATATATAATATATATATAAAATCTTAAATTTGTTGAACCATTGTTGTTTCAACAGTACCGGAATGTCAGAAGACGTAAATATAAAATAAATATAAATAAACATTAGACAGTATACAGTACATTAAGTCCCTCCTTCCTCTCCTCCCGCGCTCGCCGACGTCACTTCCACCACGCAGAAAACATGGCCGCTGCCAGTCCGTCAGACTCGGTGGCTTCACTACCCAGAAATGTAGTCATCAAAACGGAGCCAGAAGCCGAGGATGGCCCCCTATTCGGCCCGGAGGATGTGCCGGTTAAGCGGGAGCCCGTCGTCCAGCTCATGGCCCCGGTCAGCGGGCTGCAGCCGCTCGCCTGGTCGCAGGACCACCGCCTGGCTGTGTGCACCACCAGCTCCCTGGCGCTGATGGAGCTGGTGTGCGATGTCCACAGCAACAAACAGGACCTGACGCTGCATAGGACGTCAATCCCCATCCCGACCGAATCGTACAAATTGCGGGTAAATATGTACAACTGTGTGCCTGTTGTCCTCCCGGGGGGTGACTCTTCATACAGGAAATACATGTTAGCACTGTACCGTTAGCTTAGCAATGCGAGAACTTTGGCTGGTGAACATTGAGAGGGACAGCTCCACCTGCTCTGGTTGTGGGTTGAGCTGTCCATAGACCTCAGAGAAAGACCCTGTACACTACTGTACTATAATAATATGGTCTATTAGGCAGCTGACTTCTGTGCTAGTTAGCCTAGAGCTGCCTCCTTCCCTCTGCAGCTGGCAGAGAATCAATCTGTCACATTCAATACTGTTCTCTGTCAATGTTCAGAGTCATCCACTGCATTCATGTTTTCCACAGTTCTACCTGGGATTTAGAAAGTTAGAAGTTACAGCGATGTAGCACATGATGCACTTGTTGAGATTCAGGTAAAACAACCTTTAGGTTATTTACTGTAGCATCTTAAACAGGTATGAGACCAATCAATGACATCAGTCTGGTGCGGTCTGTGGATAAAATGAAAGCCTTTAAGATCCCCTCCAGACATGTTCTAAGACACTACTACAAATACACACCTTTCATCTAAACATTCAATTAACTGGTTTGAATTAATAAAACTACAACTATTGCTTCTCCCTCTGTGATCTCTGTTCTCAGTGTATGTGCCCTGGAGGCTTCAAGTTTCCACGTCCCACTTGTGTATTTTGCATACTCGACCATATTTGGCTTCCAAACTAGTTGTGATGTCACGAAATCATGCTTGCAGAATCAGATAGGTACATATGTTAAACTCAGAAACTTCCTCCTTCAGTAGATGTGAAAACAGTCTTTTTAGGGACATAATTCTGCACCATGAACAAATGAAGTAACAATCAGAAAAATGTACTTTTTAATGGAGGGAGACTTTAATATTCTGTATTATAACTTTATGGCATAAATGCTTAATCTTCATGTTCATATGTATTGAGTGAACAGTCCCAGTGGCACTGGGTAAAAGGCAGGGTTACAGGAGGAAAATGTAACTTTCTGCCTCAGTTGCCCCTCATGTGTTTTACTTGCAATGTAATGCTAATGAACTCCATGTTGGTGTCGTGTGCCTCGGACGGCCAGATTTATAAAGTGTTTTAACCAGAGTGGGACACTGGATAGGAATGACCTGATAGAGTATAGCAGAGTGTGTGCCATATAGTCATTTTTAACAGTTTGTAGACAACATGGATGTGTTTTGCAACCGATGTGCCAATACACTTTAAGGTAATACCACTGTTACACAAGTAACAAGTGTGTCTGAAGAATATACAGGTAATTACAAAGTGACAGCTGAGGGTCTGTTGGAGTAGTGTTACTACTGTTTGTCTACTTGTTAAAGGACTTGTGTAAACACGCCTCAGAAACACGGCCAAGCTAATATTCACTTGTGTGCTATTAGTCTGGCAGTGGAGGATGAGTCTGTATTTTCATTATTTACTGAACGGAAAGAAAGATAATTAAAGCGGTGGAATACAAATGTTGATGAAAAGAGAAACTGAAAAACAATCTTGCTGTGGTAAATCTGTCTCTGCGCAGCTGCTCTAGTGTGTAAACATGATTGTTTATAGGTTCGTCTCCACTCCAAAAATCCACTTGGCAGATCAAATACTGGATGGAGCAGAATTTTATAATCCACTAGGCACAGTGGCAGACAGGCAATGTTGGTTTCCTGCTGTCATTTATAGATATGATTAACTGCTTGTAAATAGGAGGGCTACTGAGGGAACAGTAGACGATGGCAAGCACAGCTCGCCACATATCATCTGTCTGATGATACTGCTGCATCACTGTCACTGTTATCCTTTTTCCTGTACAGATTATACTTATTACTATACTCAGTTTATAATAGTTAGTTTTGTCATCCACAAAGCACTGGATTTGTCATTATGATCAAATATAACCTCTTTTTTTTTTTATTGTATGCTGAAGTGACTTGCTGACTTTTCTCAAACCTGACCTTTAACCTTAAACATGGCTTTCATTTGTGTTTTAAACTTTTAAGGTTGGACCAGCAGCAGAGCTAGCTCAAGCGATGGAGAAGTTCTCTACGCATCCGGACCCCGCAGTAAGGCAAGTTTTCCTGGCCGACCGAGTGATGAACCCATCAGTAGGAGTGCACAAAGGAATAAAATATGCCAGTTGGTCTCCGTTAGGTTGTGACTCAAGTGGACGCTGTCTGCTTGCTTGCCTAACACTTGACCACAGACTTACCATTCATAACAGCCACAAGCGTCTCGAGTGGAACATGCTAGTTGATCTCACCAAAAAGTACAGTGAGAGGCTAAAAGAGCGAGGCTACGCCAAAAAAGACAACAAGCCTCCGCAGGAAAACCTGCTGGACTTTGATGAGCTGCAGCGGCGTTTCCGCATGCAGACTCCTTTGAGGATGGAGTGGTCGAGCGTTTACACGATCAAACAGGTTCAGCCAGACAACGCGTGCAAAGACATGGAGATGGTCCTCCTCGCCGTCTTAATGGAAAACGGTGACCTTGTTTTGTGGAAGTTTGTTTTGCCCTTCACAAACGGGGCAGATGTCATGTTTTATGACATAGTCGAATCAGGTGTGACTAGACCCAGTGACTTGGCGTGGTGGGAGTATGAAAGCGCAGATCGCCGGATGAGCGGACTGATCGTTGGCAGCGAGGTGGGACCGGTCAAGATCATGCCGGTCAGCCTGTCAGGAGTGAAGGGCTACTTCACCCTCCGACACCCCGTAATCCTCTGGAAGGAGTGCGATGAGATCGCCGTTGAAAACATCAAATGTGTCCCGATGATCCACCCGATCCAAAAGTCCAAATGCAGCCTCATCGTGGCCTCACGCGGATGCTACGTCTTTTGGTGTTTGCTCATGATTTCACCGGCCGGACTAAATGTACACAACTCTCACGTGGCGGGGCTGCACTCGCTCCCTGTGGTCTCGCTAGCGGTCAGTCAGCATGGTGTTGCGGTGTACACATGTTCCATAGATGGGTGGATAAAAAAGCTGACACCAACATTTACAGAGAACACTTTGATTTTCAAACAGGAGGACATGTCGAGACCTGAAAACATAACAGGAAGAAGGATACACGGGATCGCAGTGAGCCACAACGGAGCGTACATTGCACTTGCCAGTACACAAGGTATGGTCGGCGGCTACCATCCAATTAACAGGACCTACCAGGTTCACTTTGTGACCCTGAAAACGCCAGAGATGGCTGCTGCACTGCTGCTCAAGTCCCCCACGCAGAACTTGTACAAACTGGCTGACCTGCTCGATCTCGTCAGGTGGCAAATTTTGAAAAACAAGTGCATCCCTGCGTCGCTGCTGGAGGAGCTTGATCAAAAGATCCAGGAAGTAGACTCGCCCTACCTGTGGCGTTTCAAGCTCTTTTTGGTGCGTATGCTTTACCAGTCACTACAGACGCCTCCGACAGATCACTGCTGGAAGCCCACGCACAAGGAGAGCAAGGTGTTTGTCAGGGACGAGGAAGAGGAGGACGGACAGGACGAAGAAGATGCCGCACAAGTGGATGGCGAGCCTGGGGGAGTAAAACAGGAGGCCAGTCAGGAGGAGCAAATGGCGGAGGTGCAGGCTTGGATCAACGCTGTAGAGACTCACCTGATGAGAGAGAACATAAAGAAGGTGCTGGGGGTGGTGTACCTCAACACCTGGATCGCTCAGAACACCAGCATACCCACCTGTGGCCTGGTGGACTACCTCTCCAGAGACCCTAACGACAGAGCTTCAGAGGTAAAGCTCAGTGACTCACCTGATAATTATTCACTTCAGCTTCTTACCATCAATGTTGGGATCGTTATTTTATTTAATTACATTTTTTTTCTCGCCCCGATCGGAATGACTTGATGTCAGGTACATGCGGATTATCCCAAAGTGACATTTATGTAATCCAACATATTGCAGCTCAGCACAGTTTACACTTAAAGCACATTAAAGTAAGTGAAGTCAGTCCAGTTAAGCTACGAAATGCTTGACAACAACATTAACAACACGACTTTAAGACAAAACTGCATTTCATTCTCTTTTCATTCAGCATTCATAAGCAATAAAACTCACCTTTGTTCAGTTGAATACACTGTATTCAATACACTAGCCCTCTTTCGTTTGGAATGCCAAGTAGCTCATAGTGGCTAATGTCAGCTAACTTTAGATAGATATTGTTGTGTAACTGATGTATTACTAAGCGACTCTTCACTACGCTGCATGGCCAAAAGTATGTGGACTAAATGTTACAACCGTATGTAACTGTCGAACTGCTGCTGTAACAGCTCCGCTCTGCTGGTTTCAGGGTGTTCCACCAGGTTTTAGAACCTGGCTGCAGGCTCCCAATCATTAGTGAGGTCTAGAGCTGCAATGATTACTAAATTAATTGATTAGTAGTATCAATCAGGGCCAGCTATTGTGTTAATCAATTTATTGTTTTGAGCCATCTTTTAAGAAAAATTGTCAAAATTCTGTGATTTTAGCTTCTCGAATGTAAATATTTTCCAGTTTGTTTGGCCCTCTATGACAGTAAACCTAATATCTTTGTGTTGTAGACAAAACATCTGAAGACGTCAGCTTGGGAAACAGTCATCAACATGTTTCACCATTTCCCGATATTTTATTGACCAAAAAACAAGTTGATTAATCAAGAAATCAAAAGATAAATCGATATTGACAATAATGACTAGTTGGAGCCCTACTGGATAGAAGTCCCTTGACGGTCCCGTTATTTCTTTAATGAGATGTACTTCCTGTTGAAGACGGTCTGTGAGGATCCCGATCCATGTGTAAACCAAAGAGCCATTAGTTATGGAGAGAGAGGCTGTTTGATTTGATGGGATGAGCAGAAAGGAAGGGTTGTTGGAAAAACTGTTATAACTTTGTTGGTTTGGCTTCCATCCAATAGGACTGCAACTAATGCTTATTTTCATTATCAATTAATCTGTAGATCATTTAATCAATTAGTTGTTTGGTTCAGAAAATGTCATTGAACAGTGTTTCCCAAAGCCCAATGTGATGTCCTCAAACACGTCCACAACCCAAAGATATCCAGTTTACTGTCGAACACTAAAGAAACCAGGAAATACTCACATTTGAAAAGCTGAAATTAAAGTTTTTAGACATTTTTTCTTAACGTGATTAACTCTAAACTCACATTCAAGTTGTCTCCTCTGCTACCATTATACAAGTTGGATGAAAACGAACTCTGCTGTAATTGCCTTCACTCACATCCTCTGACTGTGTCCTCTCTCTCAGGTCCTGATCGGCCACATCAAGAAGAAGATGAACAAGCAGACGTTCTCCGAGCGCTGCAGCCTGTGCCAGGAGGTGCTTCCCTTCTCAGACCACAAACAGGCGATCTGCAAAAACGGTCACATGTGGCTCAGGTATAGACGTCGTTCTCCTCCACAAGTTCAAGTCTAATCCGCTAAAGAGGTTTTTTCTTTTATTAGCTCAAGCTTCAATGCGCTGTGCAGGTTCAGATGCCACAGTTGAGCCAGACAGGACATGAATTGAATCTTAATGCCAAGTGCCTTCTTTGATGGTTTATTTATCTTCACAGAGCAGTAATCAAGCCTCCCACCTTTTGATATTTACCCATGCACCACTCTCATCGTCTCATATTTATCCTCTGTCAAACATTTCTCCTTCCTTCTCACTAGCTAGAACGTGGTGCCTCTGGTGGGCACTGAGAGGGAAATGTGTGCCCGTCAATTGTACCTCTGTTTCTGCTCTACTTTAGTGTCTGTGTCTGTGTGTGTGTGTCTGTGTGTCTGTGTCTGTGTGTGTCTGTCTCTCTGTCCCTGCCAGCCAGCCAGCCAGCTCTCTAATGCCTTTCTCTCGGTCTCCTCCAGGTGTGTGTTGTCATACCAGGCCTGCCAGACGCTGACGTTCAGACGTTGCCTCCTGCTGGATAGCATCGCAAGACTGCCAGAGCCTGAGGGTAAGCGCCACTTTCCATCTCTCTCCACCTCCATTTCACAGTCTCACTCTCCGTCAACCATCTCCTCCTGTCACCTTCAACATCGGCATTCATTCTGCTCTGCCACTCCAAAACTTCACGCTCAGAAAACATGAATGATTTTTAGAAATGAGCTTTTTTTGGAAGTGTCTGTTTTTGTGTCTGATTTCTGATCTGGTGCTGCGTCCCTTTTCTTTTAAAGTCAAGAGTTGAATCATTGGTAAGAACGCTGGCAGGCTTAAAAATTCCTAATTTCCACTGTAGCTTGCTTGGGAATTGCTGGTAGTGGGAGTAAACAATCTGTGTACCACTTCATGCAGCTCAGTCTGCACTTTGCCTGCACTTAGGCAAACCTGGTTATAGTTGACTTTCTGCAGTAACCTGATTTTTCTTAAACGTCATGTAAACAAGACATCCAGTCTCTGTAATCGTAGTAGGGCATCAGAGAAACCCAATTATCCCGGCTAGATTTCTCCTGAAGAAAGCAGGTTTCTTTGCCACGCAGACCGGGTTTCTAATTGGCTTTTTATACGTGAACATGAGCAAGACTTCAGACAGGGGAAGAATCTGGCAGGATGACAGGAAAGATCAATACACTACACAAAGTGATACATCCTTGTATTCCAAACAGTTCCAAACTCTGTGCTCAAGTAACCAGGTCACCGAAGTGTATGTAAACGCATTGACCTGACTAACCTGGTGTATTGCATGCATGTAAAAGCACCAACTTTTTTGGTCAATAATCGAAGGATGCTATCTCGAAACTGAATAAAAACATAACAGCTTAAATGTAGAGAACATCAGATGTATTTTGTCAGATACATTTTACATGTTTTCTCACATCTTCCCTCTGTATTTGCCTGCAGCACTTCAGTTCCTGTCAGTGCAACATTGCAGATCCATCTTAATGCCATACAGTATTTTAAAGCAATTCTTATAATTTGTGATGATTTATCATGAACCCCCGAACCTTCCCTCCCCCCCATGGTTTTGTTTAGCATCTTAAAAAATGCCAAACAGGTGCCAGCCTAGTGCCGGCAGTGTGGTTCCTGCTGTGGTTAGAGTCGGGAGAGATAAACGTTGTGCTCTTCAGTGTTTGAGGATCGGCCTCATCTGACTGCTACATGCATCCCGGGCCTTTATGGGTCTTGCCCGAGCGCCTGAGGCACGGCTCTGCTGGTCACTCCAGCCTATCTGAGCTACAGACTGACGCCTCTGTGCAGTTTAGGCGTCTGTCAAAGTCATCCTGTCTGAAAACATTTGTTTGTTTGAGTTTTGCCCTCCTCTATATTTAGTTTTTAAACCATGTGTGGCAGTTGTTGCTGTCTTTTTACTGTAATAAACGCTTTTCAGACGTGGAATATGTAACATTGCTGGCTTCATCTATCAGTAAAAATAGTAATTATCAGTCTCAAGGAAGAACACTGAGAACTGTTGCTTAAAAATGGCTCATTCAGTTATGTGGTTTTATTATTTAAATTTTATTTTCTCCATATGAGAAATTAGTTAATTTTGAAGATCTTTTACAAAAATGAAGTAAGGAATTTATTACAGTGGTCTTAAGAAGACGTTACAAGACATCTTCAATCGTTTTCAAATGTCTTTAATCTCTCTCTCTGTATTTAACCTTGTGCTGTTGTAATTTTCACGTGTTAATATTCCATTCAGACTCGTGCTGCGTTGTGTGAGTGTTTTGGAAAAGTTACTAGGTCCGATCTGACTTTTATGGGAAAGTGATAAATATAAAACCAACATGTAAAATTCCCATCACATTTACATAACGAAGTGCATGTTGAAAGGGGCTTTAAAAATATCGTATTCACATTTAGAAAACTCCAGTACAAACACGGCTTGTTTCCTTCTCCCCACAGATCCAGAGTGGATAAAGAAGATACTGCAGGCGCCCTGCACGCTCTGCGACTCGCCGATGATCTAGAGCCGATCGACCGGAGGAACCTCAGGGCTTCCCTGCGACCTTCAGAGCATGTCGCTCTAACGCAGGGTCCAATTTTGTCAGACATCACTGCTACAATTTTTTATTTTATGTATTTTGTTCATGTTTTTATTACTTTATATTGGTATCTTAAAAGTTCAAATAAAAGGCTTTGATTATACGTTCTCTCGTTTTCTCACAAGTGTAGCCTACAAAGTGTGCAGAGGAACTGTTTCCCCCTGCCGTGGTTTTAAATTAATATTTTACTGAGGTAAAACATTTTGGACTCAAACTTTACAGATTTCTTAATTCTCTCCCCCCGCCCCCACCTCGAAAATGAATTCCCAGTCAGACACAGTGTTTGCACAAGGGTGCAAAGAAACAAAGTTTCAAATGTGGAGGTTTCTATTATTCAGTAGGACTTCAGGGCACCATAAATAAGCTCCCTCATTTTCCTTATGTTGACTATATTTCCAAACCTTTGGTGTAGTTTTTATTGCAAGTAAGTGGAACTTACTCTGCTAGTCCTATTTTAGTGAGGGTTTCTTTTTTTTCCTTCTTTTTTTGAGCGCAACAAATAATACACTCTGAATAATACATACTCTGGAAAAAACTCAACATACCTACTTTAATTGGCACTGTAAAACAATTTCCAAGCTCTGGGAGGAGGGTGGGGGTGCTCAGTCATTCTCTCAGATGAGGACTTCCGCTAATGTAAACGCAGAAGAGAAGGAGCGGCGAGGCAGATGAGATGAGCATGAGGCAGGAAGAAAGCAAAAAGTGAGCTTAAAAACCCGGCGCGGTCCCTCCCACGGGAGCGGGTTGTAATGAGATTCAGCAGTAATGAGGGACAGAACATGGCGCCAGATGTGATTCTAATTCTAATCAAGGAGGGGAGGGTGGCGGTGATGGGGAGGGGGGGTTAGAGAGCATATTGTTAAATACAATTAACCCTTTTTTTCATATTTGAAGGGAACAAGGGCTGAAGGGAGGGGGATACAGGCTTAGCGGCATGTTCTGGGCCCCGGCTCCTTGTTTTGGAGGCACAGAGGTCGGCGGCAGGTGATCAAAGAGGAAGCTGGACCTGAGAGATTGGGCCAGCAGCAGAGTCTCCTCTACCTACTGCCAGCCTCTCTCATCCCTTCCATCCCCCGGCCCGGCAGTGGTGGGGTGGGGTCTGCCCTCCCTCTGGTGTCACTGGAGATGATAGCCTGCCCCGGGGCGAGGAGAGTGGAGGCGGCTCAGCTCCAAACACTCGGGGCTTCATGAAAGGGGAACTTTTTTTTATTATTCTTTTCCCTTTTTAAACCCCACATTTCTTTACCCAGTGGTGGCATTTATTGGCCCAAGACTCAGTGAAGATTCAGTCTAGTTGGGGAAGAAAGGGTTGTCTCCCATTTTACTAGAAAGAGAATCATTTATCACATTATCCAGTGCAGGAGCAGACTGGAATGTTTGGCGGTAATGGGAAGATTAGTTTTAAGAGAACAGCTGCTGAAAACCTGGTTGGGAATGAACAATACCAGTAAAATATCCAAATAAGTGCTTGTGGAGATGTAATGATAATTTACTGAAAAAATGTCTTGACCCAAGGTCTAATTTTTCCAGAACTTTGAATCACATTTCATATCTTCCTCAGCAGGAAGGCCAACACTTGAACCAAAACACAACCAAATAGGTGTGGCAGCAGTTCCACTGTTATTCCGTGAGGAGACATTTGCTATTTTGTTTGAGCTGAATCTTTTAAAAGAGGAATAAGAGGCGGCCACAGTATATTTTACAAGATACAGTTTCTCACAGATTTCCAAACAAAGGAATAAAAGAGAAAAACACTGATCCTTCTTAATTGTGTCAAAAACAGCAGGACTCTAAGATGAACCTGCTTTTGCGACAACTTCATTAAAACTGTTTAAGTTTAGACAGTAACTTAACGGAGAATTTAAAGTAGCTAAAAGCCGTTTAATGAGCTTTTCATCAGCCCTGGCTGTGGTAGGTTTCCTCTTGTTTTGCAGCCTGGGGATTTGGTGCTCCCTGTTATAGTTTGTCAAGTGGAAGTGGCTCCTCAGGTTGTAATGTTGCTGTCACTGATAGGTGGAGACCAGTACTGTTAGAGGTTAGCTGTGTTTGGTTGATCCTCCTCCCGCTTTAGTGTAATAATCCGTCAAAGAGCAGCTCCACTAGTAATTACCTGCTTCCCCTCCCTTTCTCTCCCACTGTCTTTGCTCTCAAGACTTCAAACGGGGGATTTTTCTCTTTGCATACAATATTTATATCCTTTATGTCAGTGGCTGGATGGCATGAAACATTCATGACACCTTTTCACACCTTAATTTCATGTGATATTCCTTTTGTTTTGTTTAGACTAGATTTTGAACATGATATGTCCCACTGTATTCTCTCAAGAGCATCCATTCATTTTGTTGCTTCATAATATTCCAGTTTAAAACGTGGCAGCTGCTTCACTCCCTCAGACATGTGACTGCATCACCTGGTGGAATCACAACTTTGTTTTTACATATTTGCTTCTTTTATGAGTCTCCTGTCAATTCTTTATGCATTTAGTCTAAGTTGGGGAGTAGTTTATGACGACGCACGGCACACAATGTGAGTCTCAAGTTGTATTAGGTTGTTGTGGCTCAAATCAATGAGCAGGAACACTTATGGCAATAGGTAGAGGAGGTATTTATTTATAGCCAGAAACATTCCTGTCGGGTTATTTTATCCATCCAACAGTTTATCAATAGATTTTCAAAATAAAACTATACTATACTTGCTCTTTAGCCTTTTAGCCATAGCCTTTAGTATTTTATTCTACTATTGAATCCTAATATCTTATTTTTAAAGAAATTTATGAATGCAGTGACATCACTTTACCTATTTCTTAAGCCAGTCCACTTTTAAAAAGTTTTCGAGATTTAAGTGTAATGTTCTTGATAACCAGTGTGCAGCAATCGGCCTTAATATTTCCTGTTTTGAGGTACTGGAATCGAAAGAGAAAGGAAACTGTCCTGAAGTATGAATTTGTATATATATATTGTTTGCTCCCTGAAAACCTTCTTTGTTCCTGCAGTGAATTATCTTTTTCCTCAACTGATTCTTGCTCTTTTGTAGTGGGCTGCAAAGGCCTGATATTGAGGATTATGCATAAAAAGTCAACTTGTATGTTTGCAGATGGTACCAATGAATAGCAGTGAACCTCCAGGGCTGAGCAACATCACCTCAAATCTGTATCAAGATCAATTTTAAAAATGTTGCTTGATAAATGATCAGTAAGGACCAGTATTTTTTTTTTATATATATATTTTTTCAGTGTTAAGCCTCCCGCCCACCAGGATGCCCCAGAATCTTTCCGTACATCAGTGCATGAAATTTAATTCTTCACGCTGCTCACTTGTTTGTCTGACCTTTTAGAGATTCTGGTTTAAATATATGGTTTTCATTCAATGAAAATTGCGATATAGATGGGTAAGAAAATTCATAATATTAGTGATTGGATACATTTGGTTTATTGCCCTTATTGACAAAGCCTCATGACCTCAGAAATCTTACTTTTCTTTGTAGTCATTGCATCTGTGTAGCTTCCAGACAGGAAGCAGAAATAAACGTGGCTGTCTGTAAAGTTAGGGCCCAGAAATATACCACAGTGGACACTTTGGCACAGCGACAATCCGGAGTTGCATCATTGCATCTCTGCAGCTGCTGACTCCCTCCACTCCCCCATGAGGCTTCACTCCTCTGTTTCTAAAGTCTACTAAACTGAGCCGCATACCCCCCCCCCCAAACTTGTCAGTGCTAATGAAGTCAGTATGCAAGGTTGTCTTCTGCTCTCTCTGAACTGATGGGGTGAACATGGTTGTCTAACTGGTTGACTCCCCCGCTCTCTGCCGTCCCCGGGGAGCAGGAGAGGAGGGAGGGGAGGGCGGTGACCCGAGACCAGCCGAGGGCTTGTGTGAGGAGGATAGAGGTGGGGGGGAGGTTGTATGTCCATCATTAGAGTCACTATTTGTTCCCGGCTTTGAGAGCACTGAGGTGGAACTAATACTGAACAGCAGAATGGACATGGAGAGGGAGGGCCACTTTTTACTGCTACATTAATTAAGCTCATTCTCAACATGCTCCCTGTCTCCTCTGGTTCTGCTGTAATTAAGTGGAGGGGCTGCTTTGTGTGTGTACGGTTGGTTTAACCTTTTCTGACGTTTAGCAACAACATCCCTCACTTTCAGAGGTGGGGAGTGACTACATTTAGTGAGTACATTTACTCAAGTGCTGTGCTTTAATGCAGTGTTGAAGTACGGGTGATTTTGACTTTTACTCACGCCATTTAACAAGGAAATGGAAAGGAACTGTTTACCGGGGCTGGAACTAATGATGGTTTTTATTATCTAGCAATTATTTATGTAAGTGATCAACCATTTGGTCTAAAATGTGTTCAAAATGAATATAGTTTAATTTAAACTCATAGAAACCCACACTACACTTCTATTTACAATGATATAAAACATAAAAAAAAACAACAAATCCCCACACTGGAGAAGCTGGAACCAGAGAACGTTTGGTGTTTGGTAATGATGTAAGTGATTAATGGATTATTACAAATGTTGGTTAATTTGGCGTTGATCAACTTAACTTTTAATTGATGTGTTGTTTCATCACTACTCTTCACTCCACTACAATTACTAGTAGTTACCAGTTACTTACATTTTATGGTGAACAAGCTAATAAATAACACAGTTCAAACTTCAACGTTCCTCAAATAAAAAAGAATCCAACAATCCTGTTTCAGCTCGATGCTGCTAATGCTTGTTAGACATGATCTTGATAGTCTTAGTGAATTTTCTTTTGCCTGTAGCCGAACATGTAACTGATCTGAGAGCAGCACACATCACAGGGTGGAAAACCCTCTGTCTCAGGTTTGGAGCACTTTCATGTTCATAACCTAAAACTACAGCGTAGCAACGTTTTATAGTTGAGATAAGAGAAGCTACAACTGGTGCTAGGTTACCTACCGGGCAGAGCAGGCCAGGCCCCCAGACCCTCAAGGGGCCTGAATGTTGCAGTTTAACCGTGAGGTAATTAGTTTGTGGAGATTGAATTAATTGTACATTTGTTAGTTAAAGGCCCTGAAAACATATTTTCCCATTACTATGAGTGATAAAGAGACGGGATCTCAGGTGATGCAAT